CAGTGGCGCACGTGGAGGGCATGCGCCAGCAAGGTTGCGAAACCAACGCCCAAGCCGAAAACCGAAGAGAAAATCAGAGGAAAACTTCACCATTTTTCAGTAACAAATGCCGAAAAATCAGTCACAATCGAACGTGCAAGGGAATCCCAATGAAATCGAGATTACAACAACCCGATTCAAAGGAGATATTCTCCTTTTCGAAGGCTATAAAAAGCCTCAGATAAAGCTAAGCAAGACACCAAGAAAACCATTGAAGAACGCGATAAAAAACAAAGCAACTAAACAAGAAAGAGCATCGAAAACATCATGCAAAACCGAGCAAAAACATTTCGCAAAAATTGCGAAAAAATCACAAAACACAAAGGAGCAATTTCAGTCGTGGCTTAGGAGGGGAACGGCCGCTGGAAGTTGAATAGACTCATCGGGAAAAGGTAAAATTTCAAAACTTTACATTTATATCTACGCTAATGGGGGTGTTTTAGGGTGTCTGGGCCTCAGTTTTAGGTTTTAGGGTGTCTGGGTCACGTTTTTAGGTTCACGGGGTCAAAAGGAACATTATGGTTAAGATTGGGTTTTCTGGCCACCGGTGGTGGTGGTTGGAGCAACGGTCGACAGTGGTTCGGGCGGTGGGGACGTGGTCGATTTTTTAATTTAATACCATGATATTTTATTTTATTGTTTGACATTAATTTTACTTTTTTAGGCAATTTTAAATTGATCAAAGGTAAGTAATTTGGATCAAATTTTTAAATTCTAATTTCAATTTTAATTTTCGCTATTAATACAACCGGGAAATCAAATTGGTAATGAAAGGGCAGTACAAGGGTGTTAATCCTTCCTTGATTGTAATCGACTCCCGAATCTGACTAATTTCTGGTAAGTTGTAGATCAGACAAACGATAGGTTAAGGTGTTTGATCAACCTAATTTGAAATGATCGGTGGCGGCTCCATCACATCAATTTAAGTCTAGACCTGATTCTGGGACCACCCGAATGACGGTTACGATAATAATGATATATGGTTCAATACAAATCTGATTAAATTCGGCCTATGGTAGGGGTATGCAAATCCGAGTACTCGGGTTTTCGGGTACCCGAAGTGCGGGGTACCATGATCTTCAGGTAATTGATTTCTCAGTTCGTGTCCCGACCCGAATGTTGCCGATACCCTATAATCAGGTACTGGGATTTTACGGGTACCCGAATACCCTTTTTTTATTTTTTTTCAAATTATTAATTAAAAAAAACACACACAAATTTAAATGCATATATAATGTTATTAATAATTAAATATATAATAATATATAATAATATATTATTAATAATTAAATATATAATAATATAATATTATTATATATATATATATATAAATCCCTAACCGGGTACTTGGAAAAATTCAATTTTGTGACTTGGGCCCGACCCGAGAAATGTTGGGTTGGGTACACGACCCGGCCGGGTAAATTTTTTTTTAGAAATTTACCTGGTTTTTAAAGATTCGGGTCGATAGATCGACGAGTCGGGTCAACCGAGTAGAGTATTTTTGCACACCCCTAACCTATGGTAGGATCCTCCCTAGCAAATGGGCCGAGTTCCGTGTTTGGTCCAAATGTGCATCAGACATGAGTTCAAACTTTGTTTTGTCATGCATGCTTTGCCACTTCTTCCAACAGAAAATGGTATTAACAATTAGAGTTCACAATCTCATAAAGCTATGCACGGTTTCTAACATTGCTTTAGGCGGGAACAAAGACATCGTTGTTTCACTCAAAAACCATGTTCCCGCTCCTATAAACATGCTCCAACTCAATTCTGATCTCAAGAACTTAGTCAAAACGGGTCATCTCCACGAAGCTCGTCAAATGTTCGATGCAATGCCTCAGAAAGACGAAATTTCATGGACAACCATGATTTCTGGTTTCGTCAGTTCCATTAACTCAAATGAAGCATTGTTTTTATTCTCCAAAATGTGGGTCTCACCTGGGCTTTCCATGGACCCCTTCTGTCTTAGTATTGCACTTAAAGCTTGTGCGCTGGAATTTAATTTTAATTATGGAGAATCGCTGCATGGCTATTTAGTTAAATCTCGTGTTATTAACTCAGTTTTCGTGGGGGGTGCCCTTTTAGATATGTACTCAAAGTTTGGCAAAATTGAGCTAGGGATCAAAGTGTTCGATGAAATGCCTATAAAAAACGTGGTTTCATGGACCGGTATTATTACAGGGCTTGTTCACGGTGGATAGTATAAGAAGGGTTTGGCTTACTTATCTGAAATGAGAAAATCTGGAGTGGAATACGATTCTTATACTTTAGCTATTGTTTTGAAGGCTTGTGCTTCTTTAGGTGCTTTGAATTTTGGTAGGGAGATTCATTCTCATACTACGAAGAGAGGTTTTAATGATACTTTATATGTGGCTAATTCTCTTTCTACTATGTATAACAAATGTGGAAAATTAGATTATGGTTTGTGTTTGTCTGAAAAAATGAATACAAGGGATGTGGTTTCGTGGACATCTATTATAACAACTTATATTCAGATGGGAGAAGATAAGAATGCCCTTGAGGCATTTTTAAGGATGCGAGAAGCAGGCGTGAGCCCAAATGAGTTTACTTTCGCTGCTGTCATTGCCGGTTGTTCTGGTCTTGTGAGAATTGGTTGGGGTGAGCAATTACATGCCCATGTTTTCCGTATCGGTCTTTCAGATGCTTTATATGGCTAATTCCCTCATGACCATGTATTCAAAATGCAGGCAGATATCTTCTGCTGCGATGGTGTTTCATGGAATGACAAGAAGGGATGTCATTTCTTGGAGCACTATTATTTCAGTGTATTCTCAAGGAGGCTTTGGGGAAGAAGCTTTTGAGTATTTGTCGTGGATGAGAAAGGAAGGGCCAAAGCCAACCCAGTTTGCTTTTTCTAGTGTGCTGAGTGTCTGCGGAAATATGGCGATTCTGGAGCAAGGGAGGCAGCTTCATGCACACGTTCTTTCCATTGGGTTATAACAAGAAGAAAGGATACAGAGTGCTCTAGTTAATATGTACTCAAAATGTGGGTGAATTAAAGATGCTGAAAAAGTCTTCAGGGAGGGTGAGAATTATAATATTGTGTCATGGACGGCCATGATTAATGGATATGCTGAACACGGATACATCCGTGAAACTATTGATTTATTTGAGATGCTTTATAAGGCGGGTCTGAAAGCAGACTCAGTGACCTTCATTGGCCTTCTTACTGCTTGTAGTCACGCAGGACTAGCTGATCTTGGTTTCTATTACTTCAATTTAATGAGTAGTGAGTACCAAATAAGTCCTTCTAAGGAACACTATGGCTGTATGATTGATCTACTCTGCCGAGCTGGGCGACTGACTGAAGCAGAGAAAATGATTAAAAGCATGCCGTTTCATAGAGATGATGTGGTTTGGTCAACCCTTCTTAGAGCTTGTAGGGTCCATGGTGATGTTGAACGTGGACGACGCACTGCAGAACAGCTTCTTGAAATGGATCCAGATTGTGCAGGGACTCATATCACCCTTGCTAATATATATTCCGCCAAAGGAAAATGGAGAGAAGCAGATGATGTTAGGAAAATGATGAGGTCAAGGGGGGTCATCAAGGAGCCAGGATGGTCCTGGATTAAGGTTAAGGATCGGGTTTCTGCATTTGTTTCCGGTGAACGATCTTATCCAGAGGGTGAAGAAATATATGGCATGTTGGACCTACTCGCTTCGAGGGTGGATTTTTCTGTCCTGGAGTTGGGTTCTCTTCTAGATCGAGAGGATTAGCCTGAAATGAAGATTCAATTTCATTTTTTCATGCAGGTTTTGGCCTCTTTCTCCTGATTGAAAGCTGAATTTAAAAGAATGACTTCACCAGCCTTCACAAATATTCTCTATGTCCTTTACAAGCAAGATAGTCTCCATTATGTTCTTCGGGTTCATCTTTTGAATCAAAACCATTTTTGGAGACCATCATTTTGAAAATCATCAAATTTCCCATCAGCAAATGTTCATTGAATGGACCGTAGGATTCCGTGGAGGCAATTTTCCACCATTGAATCATCCTATTTAGATTTAGTTATCTTCCCTGTCTCTTTCATGCTTTGGTGATAATAATCTAGATTTATGAGGAACACTTGTGTTTCGAAGTAGAAGTAATATACATATGAAGCAAGGAATAAATTCAGGGTAATATACATATGAAGCAAGGAATAAATTCAGGGTACAAAGTATGTGGGGGCAAAATCACTCAGATATGGCGTTAAAAAGAATTTGTTGATTTAGAGTGATGGAGAAATCATTTGTTGGAATAGAGTATTTGTTATTGTATTTGTGGAAAATGTTTGGACCAACTCGACGTCTTTGGGAAGACGCCTAAATCACTCGATGTCTTACAAAAGGGTTGTAAATCAATAAAAAAAATAGGAAAAATTAAATTTTCCTTGAGCCCTTAAGGTGAACATTGGATACGTGCTTATCCAATAATCTATTTTCTCTTTGATTATTAACTTGTTTTATTGATTACGTTTCTCTTTAAATATTATTTGTGTTTATTTTATATAAATACTTTATGCGGTTAATGTATACGTATCCACCCTAAAAAAATTATTTATGAATAGAAGCTAGTTTAAGGGCTCAAGGAAAATACAGCCGAAAACAAGAGAGGCGAGGCTTGGCCACAGCCCACAAGCAGGGCAAATGATGGGTCGACTGTCCTTTTGTTTTAATGAATTTATTCTATAGAATCGGGAGCCTCTTAGCTTCCCGATGAAGATTATTACATGATAATGTAATATAATATCCAACCTCTCTTTGGTATAAAAGTCCACTGGTGAAGAAAGTATTGAATAATATTCTGTTTAAACATGATAGTGGTAGAAATATATAAATATAAAACATTAGGAAGACCAAAACTAAAAACAGAATATATTCTATTTCTTTTTTATTACTAAAGTTTCTATCCATCAATTATGCTGATACATAGAATAGAAGAGGTCAAACGCGGGAAATCTGCATTTCGTAACACTAAGAGATATTACTCTGCGAGGAAAATTGTACAAGACAGACTCAATTCAACTCGTTCCCAAATTAGTTGTCTCACCTCAAATGGATGCTACTCCTAAAGTTTACTGTGTTGGAACGGCTGACACTAAGCTCGACGAGCTCCGATTCCTGTCTGACTCAGTTCGATCCTCTCTCACCACCTTTTCTAACTCCTCTTCCTCCAAGGTATGTTCTACTTGTGCTTTTTCCATTAGCTTCGTGTTTCATGGTTTTTCATTCGAGTTTTCCGGTAAGTGTCTTTTTCTTCGGTTTTACTTCAATTATTTTCTCAAGTATGTTACCTGCAACGCTGATCGATTTGCTATGAGAAACCAAAACTGAAATACAATTCGTTATTTATATACAACAACAAAAACAACAAAACCCTATTCCCATATGTAATGAGGTAAGGGGAGGTAGGGTAGTAGGCTGTCTCCCAACGCCAGGTTGAGAGCAGCTTCCGTGGAAGACTTCCGGCAGTTAAAAAATTAAGAATAAAGATAAAATACAATGCATGTTTAAATAAATAAATAAAATACGTAGTTGGACAATCTTCATATGCAGTCTTCATATGCACGTCTGTAATGGGAAGTAATCCCTGCAAATACACCCTTGCGTAAAAATATCTTCATATAGACAGAAAAGTAAGACCCGTCCAAAATTATAAAGAGGAAACATGAAGAACAATATACAAGGAATTCAACGATAGCAGGCTTCGAGAATGGATAAAGTCAAATGGGTTAAAACCTAAACTAAGGTACTTGAAACAATCCTTTGAGGGGAGAACGTGTCATTCTATGCATATTTCTACGTCTTCATCGTTTTGGTTCCCACTGAAGTTTGAACATAAATACTCTGTCTTTTCAATATTGATCCTTAGTCATTTTTCTTCCAAAGCTGTTTTCCAGATAGACAGTCTACTATTCAGCTCAGTTTTTGATTCAGCCACTAAGACAATGTCGTCAGCGAAAAGCATACACCATGGAACACCGTCTCTGGTGTCGCACAATAGATGTCATCCATAATCAAAACGAAGATGTAAGGGCTAAGAGCTGACCCTTGGTGGAGTTCGATTTCCACCGGGAATGCCTCGGTGTCGCCAACTGTAGTCCTGACATAGGTAGTAGATCTACAGTACATATCACGAATCGCACGGATATAAGCAGTTGGGGTCTGTCTCGTTTCCAATGTCTTCCAGATCGTATCGCGGGGAACGCTATCATACGCCTTCTCAAGGTCAATGAACGCCATGTGAAGATCTTTATTTTTTTCCCTATATTTCTCCATAAGTCGTCGAAGTAGATGAATCGCCTCCGTAGTAGACCTGCCTGGCATAAAGCCAAATAGGTTTTCCGAAACCCTAGTAACCTGTCTCAACCTAGCCTCTATCACCCTTTCCCATAGCTTCATGGTATGGCTGAGTAGTTTAATACCTCTGTAGTTGCCACAACGTTGGGGATCTCCTTTATTCTTATAGATTGGTATCACCGTAGACTCTCTCCACTCCTCTGGCATCTTGGCAGTCTCTAGAATAATATTAAAGATGTTGGTCAACCACTTTACTCCCTCTTCTCCTAGGGCCAACCACACAGTGATAGGAATTTGATCTGGACCGACAGCTTTGTCCCTTCCCATCTTTCTAAGAGCCATTTTGACATCCTCAAACCCAATCTTACTTGTGGGGCAGTCAATGACCGTTGTATGATGGTCGGCTGACCCATCAACGATACTATCTCTATAGGGAAAGGCACCGTCATTAAATAAGCCAAAGAAGTAATTACCTCACACCCTCTTAATATCATGATCTTTCACTAAGAGGACACCATTGTTGTCCTTAATAAACCTAATGCGACCTAGATCCTTTTTCCTATTCTCCCTGGATTTTGCAAGCCTGAAGATGCCGTTTTGTCCTTCCTTAGTGTCTAATTTCTTGTACATTTCCTCGTATGCCTTATCCTTTGCTTTGGCCACCGTTTTCTTGGCTTCCCGCTTTGCCTCCTTGTATCTTTGTTTAGCTTTCGATCTTTCTTCGTCGTCAGTGCATTGTAACAACTCCTTGAAGCAAGTTTGTTTTGTCTTCACCTTAGTTTGGACTTCGTCGTTCCACCACCACGATTCTTTATGTTCCTTGCCCTTCCCTGTCGACAACCCAAGGGTGTTTTTGCCTACCTCTCTGATGGAATCTGCCATATTTTTCCATAACATATATGCATTTTTTGAGTTTGAAGTACCAAAACCTGTATTAGACAAAACCTTACTCCTAAAGTCATCAGCTGTCGCTCCATGTAAGTTCTTCCAAAGGATCCTATGTCTACCAAGCTTAGCCCTCCTATGCGTGCTCTGACCGTGGCGTACGCGGAACACCAAAACCAACAATCTGTGTTGTGATGCACATGCCTCTTCAGGGAACACCTTACAGTCAGCGCAAGCCCATCGATCCCGATTTCGAACCAGGATGTAGTCGATTTGGGTACAATGTGTCCACCTCTATGGAACGTAATCAAGTTCACATCTCTCTTGTTAAAGAAAGAGTTTGTGACCACCATATCGTGTGCAGTTGCAAAATCAAGCAACGTACGCCCCTCTTCGTTCCTACTACCAAACCCAAAACCCCCATGAACACCGTCATACCCGTCAGTTGCCCTACCTACATGGCCATTGAAGTCTCCCCCTATAAAAACTCTTTGGTCCTCCGGAATGCTCCTAAGTACATCATCTAACTGATCCCAGAAGCAACGTTTCTCCCCCTCCCCTAGGCCTACATGTGGGGCGTACACTGAAAGGACATTCACTACTTCCGCTTCTATAATAACCTTAATCATCATAATCCTATCCCGATATCTACAAACTTCAACTACATTTTCCTTGAGCCTAGAGGATACCAAGATACCCACCCCATTGTTAGTTTGAAAAACACACACATTTATATATAATTATGTGCTTGTATAAACCCAATATAAAACAAATAAAAATTTAATGCTTTTTTTAGAAATTTATAAGCGAAAAAATAATCAAAACGAGATTAACATAGAGTAAATACTTGTAAGATTTTACGTGATTTAATCTTGACAAAAAATAATAATCTATATAAATTTAGAGATCACAAAGATTACATATTCATGATATGTCATTTATATGAAAACTCATATATATAGACACACACATAGGCTATAAACAATTTTCTCTTTTCAAAATAATTCTATTATAATTATAAACGTTAAGAGATACTCTCTATTTGTAGTTTTAAACTTAAAATTATTATCTCATTAGAATTATTAAATAAATAAACTTAATTAATAACTAATTTCAATCAGTACAATTACAACAAAATGAGACTTAATTACTAATTAAACTTTGAGTCAATAAATAATGGTTTATGGATTGTTCGTTTTATTCACTAATTTATTATAAATTATAATATTAATTAAAAATTAAGTGCTCAAACTATATCTTTAGTTTATTTTAGGAACCTCAAGATTATTTTAAAAAAAAATAAGTGTTTAACATTTATTCGGTTATGGTGTCCGGTGGTTAACAGTGATTAAAAAATTATGTTATCCAATTAAGCAAATAAGAAATATACTCTTGACATTTATTTTTCAATTAAGCCTAAGTTATATGTTAATTGGATCACTAATTTCTCCTGATTCAGAACATGTGAGATAATGATTTCTGGTTTTCTGAATTTTCTGTTTTTATGGTAAAAACATGGAATCATTAACGTTTGCTAATGTAAAAGACAGGTAGAAGTTGTGATAGTCGATGTTTCCGCTGGTCAAAAGGAAACCGAGAGATTAAGTGATTTCAAGTTTGTGACGAGAAAGGAACTTCTTTTATGCTATTCTGAATCAGTTGGGGGAAACCCAATTGTGCTTCCAGATGATAGAGGTGAAGCTGTTGGTGTTATGAGCAAGGCACTGCAACATTTCATTAACAAAACTCGGGCTGATGGTGGTGTTGCTGGAGCCATTGGCCTTGGAGGCACCGGAGGCACATCTTTGTTATCATCACCATTTAGATCTCTTCCTCTCGGCGTTCCGAAGCTCATTGTATCGACTGTAGCTAGTGGTCGAACCGAACCTTATGTTAAAACATCGGATTTGGTATTGTTTCCGTCGATCGTCGATATCTGTGGGATTAATAGTGTTAGTACAGTTGTGTTATCAAATGCTGGTGCTGCTTTTGCTGGAATGGTGATTGGAAGGCTTGAGATGCTCCAACAGCGTTGTAATGAAGGTAAAAAAGGCACTGTGGGTATAACTATGTATGGGGTCACGACTCCATGTGTTAATGCTGTGAATCAAAGATTGCAGAAGGAAGGTTATGAAACCCTCATTTTCCATGCCACTGGAGTAGGTGGCAAGGCCATGGAATCACTAGTTAGAGAAGGATATATACAGGTATCTTTCGCAGTCGTTTATTTGCTTCTGGAAATCTTCATCGAAACACGAATTCTTTTCACCTATGGTGAATGAAGTTTATGCATTTCTTCACCGAAAGCCTTTCTGCATGAAACTTTCTTGTGAGACGAGAAAAATGGAGCCCTACTATTCTATTCTTCAATGTTCATCTTTTTCCTTGTTGTGTTAGGGAGTTTTGGACATTACAACCACAGAGGTTGCAGATTACGTAGTTGGGGGTGTGATGGCTTGCGACAGTTCTCGTTTTGATGTAATTATAGAGAAAAAGATCCCTTTCGTCGTCAGCGTAGGAGCCTTAGATATTGTGGCATTTGGACCTAAAGATACCATACCATCTAATTTTCAGCAAAGAAAGATTCACATTCACAATGCTCAGGTGATAAGTCCATATGCAACCTTTTTTTTCAGTGACCGGCCTTTTGGTCAGTAACATTGTCCGTCATTCTGAATTATAACATGTCCGCTGTTGTCTAATGTGTCTTCTATGTGTTGTTAATGGTGGATGATTGAAAGATACTTCTCATGAGAACCACAGTCGACGAGAACAAGAAATTCGCCTGCTTTATAGCTGATAAAATGAACAAGTCTTCGTCAAAGATCTGTGTTTGCCTGCCACAAAAGGGTGTTTCAGCATTGGATGCTTCCGAGAGGCCCTTCTATGATCCCGAGGCTACCGGTGCCCTTTTAAACGAACTGCAGAGACTCATTCAGATAAACAATGACCGGCAGGTAACGTTTTTGCTTATTAAAATGGTGTGCACATAAATTTTATACTTCCTGTATTTGTTAAGGTTTAGTGTTCATTACATCATGCATGGTGCATTCCAATTTTCCCTTATGATGTCGAAATTGTGTCTACTGATAGGTAAAGATGTATCCTTACCATATCAATGACCCCGAGTTTGCGAAAGCATTGGTTGACTCGTTTATGGAGATTTGGTCGAAGAGTCCTGCAGATTCTAGTCTCCCTCAGGTTTCTTCTTGCGAGTCCAACCAGGGCCTTCATCTTCACAAGGATGAAAACTAAGATTGATTTCTCAGCATTGAAACATTGTATCAAATGGTAACATGTCCGTATCATAATAAAGATAAGATAAGAGATGGTTGATTCAAAAACAGACTTGTTAGAAACTGAAATCCAGGAGAGGATTGATATGATAATGCAAATGCTAATAAAATCATGGGTTCAAACTTGTGCTATTCCTGCGCCTGTAGGGCTCAAAATTCTATATTAGAGGCAGACTTATAAAATTTTGGGACGTAAACTTTTCAGAGATGACCACCCCGCCACTTTCCCTCTACCATTAGATCTTTATGCAGGTTTGGCAAAGCAGTTAGTGAGCTAATAGGTAAAGAATTTAGAAATATATAGGGTAAACTACACGGGTGGCCATCAAACTATTGACATAATTATATATTTAGTCATTAATATTTATATATTTTATCAATTTAAATGACTGAAGGAATGATTTTTTAATTTTAATTTATTTAATATAATTTATTTAGTTGAAAATAATTGGAGAAATAATATGCTGCTGGGCGGATTCGAACCAGGGCCAAAAGAAGATGTATCACGAACTAAACCACTCAACCAACTCGCATGATATTGCATTTTATTTTATAATCTATTAAAATTAATAAAAGAATAAAATTTGAAGTTAAAATGTAAATAGAAGGTTTGGAACTTAAATTTACAACTACCCGGTGTAAACGAGCCTAGTCGAGCTCGAATATTACTGAGCTCGACTCGAAAACTCGCAAGCTTAAAATTTCCAAGCTCGACTCGAACTCAAAATCCTGAACTTAAGCTTGTGAGCAGCTCGAAAAGGCTCTAAATGAAAAAAAAATCTTAAACTTAACTCTATTGAAACCTCAAACTCGAACCTGAACCTTAAATACATGAAAAATCTTAATGTATTTTTAAAAAAATTAATACATAAATGTTAATATTATTAATAATTTATTTATTTTAAATAAAATCTTAATATATTATATTTTCGACCTGCTCACGAGCTTTTTGAGTCGAATATAAAATAGCTCGTTTCGGCTCGTTAAGAACTCGAGTTGAGTCCATTCGATCCGAGTATTTATCAAGCCTTGATCGAGTAGATCTCAAATAGCTCACGATCTGTCTCGTCTCATTTATAGCCCTAACCTCAAATATACATTAAAAGCATAGATACAACATTGTTTTATATATTATTAATTTTTATTAATGGGTGTAATTTACTATAATATTTAATATAAATTTTTCATTTTTTATTGTATATAATATTATGTTTTTCTTTTAGAATATAAACTATTTTTATGCTGCATTTAATAATTTTAAGCTTTTAATATAAAATATTTTTTTATTAAAAACAAAATTGTTTTAATTTAACTAGATTTTTTTAAAAAAAAATTATATCAAAATAAGGTTTAAAGGTTACATTTGTCCATGTAGTAGACACAATTTATCATTTTCACCCCTATCATATTTTCGCATCAATTTAGCTCTCAAAGTTGTTTAATTGCATCATTTTATACCCTACTCCTAACTTAAAACCCTAATTTAAGGATTTTAAATTAGAGTTTAGGGTTTAGATTAATGGTTTAGGGTTTAGGGTTTAGAGTTTAGGGTTTATAGTTTATGCTTTATGGTTTTAAGTTGTTTAATTGATAACCCTATACCTCTAAACCATAAACCCTATAACCTCTAAACCATAAACCTTAATCCCTAAATTATAACTTAAAACCCTCAAGTTAGGATTTTAAGTTACGAGTAAGGTATAGAATGATGCAATTGGATAACTTCAAGGGTTAAATTGATGCGAAAATACGATATAGGTGAAAATGATAAATTAGGTCTACTACAGGGACAAAAGTGACCCTTCTGCCTAAAAACAAACATGTCATCTTTTGGTGTGACATTTAAGATTACCATAAAAAGTGTATATATATTTTAAAGATTATCATATTGTTTTTAATAATCTTTTTGTTAAAAATAAAAACGTTGTAATCTAACTGTCATAAACAAAAAAATTATATTAACAAAATAAATATATTCAAACTTTATATTAAATACATAATATTAAAAAGTTGTAATCTAACATAATTTTTTTAAGATTATCTTAACTAAATTAATAACTAAAAGTTTTCTAACTAAAAATTAATCATATATAGAACAATGTTGTAATTAAACTTCAAATATATGTTTGGGCTAGTGGTCAAGGTGCTTCTATCTTTGATTAAAGTTTAAAGTTAAAATCCTTCTATTAGTGTTTTAGTTTCATATCATTATATATAAAAGGATATATAAAATATATTGTGATGCTTCACAAAGGATTAGAGTTGCTTGAGTGGTTAATGCGAGTTCTTATCCTTCTTTTGGCCCTGGTTCGAAGCCCGCAGCAGCATAACGTTTACTTCAATTTTTTTCGTTTAATAAGGTTGTTTTGGAATCTAAATAAATTAGATTAAATAAATGAAAATTTAAAAAAATCTTCCAGTCATTTAATCACACACCATCTAATTGGATATTAAATTTATTTAATTTAATTAAAATAATGATTAAATTGATAGAATATGTAAATATTAAGAGTTAAATATATAATTATACTAATTTTATTAATTGACACCTTACTATTTCTGTTAAAAATTAAAAATCAATGATTTGATTGAACCATTTAGTTAGGTGATCTGATTAATTAGATTGAAATGTTGATGATCAAAATAAAAATAGATAATAATTTAGTGATCATTAGGGTAGTTTACCCAAATATATACACATCTGAACTGATTTGCGTTTTGTAGTGGCTGGAATAAAAGGGTAGGTAAGTGTTGTCTATATTTCCTTGTAACATTTCACATTATCATATTAATTATCTGTCAATTAGGCATAAAGTATATCAATAACTAGCTGGTCTAATTAGATCAAATAGTAGATTACTTGAGTAAGATCAATAGTTTAAATTTTGGCTTTTGTGAAAGAAATAAACTTGATTGAGAATGTTATCTTTCTCTCTGTAATATTCGATTAAGATTAATCGATCAATAAATCAGACACCAACCATTATAAAAAAATATAGGCGATTGTTCATAATCGTTGAAGTGGTTGGAATATGATTATTTTTTTAAAATAAATTTACTTTAAAATAATCTACTTTTTCGGTTCGAAATATAAGTCAAAATCATGGTTAGAAAGTGGAAAAGTAATGCAATACTTGTTTATTACTCAATTAAATCCATAGAAAATATTAAGAGTAAAATATAATAATGGTCATTGAACTTTTTTAAAGCTTTTATTTAGGTCCTCCAACTTTTAACACTTGCAATACAATCCTCCAACATTTAGTCCATTTACAATATAGTCCCCGACGTTACATTGCCCTTAGTCCATTTGCAATATGGTCACTGAACTTTTCAGGTGCTTGGATTTAGGTCCCCCAACTTTTAAAACTTGCAACACAATCTTCAATTTCATTATAAACCCCAAATTCCTTTTCGATCTCAAATTTCCTTTTTTGTTTCTCTCTTCTTACTTTCAACAAAACTTTTTAATCGGGGATGCATGGGTAATTCTAATCTAACTTTGAATTATGTGGAGGTGTTAACTTGAATAAGGGTCCATTGAGAGAAAACCGACCAAGGGACTATCGGGACTATGTACGATTCAAGGTGTAATGTTAGATACAAGTCATCTCAGGTGAAGAATAGATGTTTGATGAAATACTTGTGAGATTAGAAATGCAGAGTTGACAAATACTACTAAGATGAACTAAGTATCATTGTTGAAAGTCACCAACAAAGCTGGAATTATTTTGTATAAATGGCATATAATAATTTATTCGTTTAATCCTTGTGGTTAAAGATTTCCAACAGTTGATCAAATATAATGAAATCCCTAACAGCGTATTCACCTCTCAGCCTCTTTCGCAACTCGAAAGGCATCATGACATGGTCAAGTAGTTGCTCCAATTATAATACCCTGTCATGATGTCTTTCGAATTGCGTGCATGCATAAATGTCTTCTAAAGTTATAATTCAATACAATTCAACTATAAAATTTCCAAAACATGTAAAAAAATCCAATTCGTTCACGATATATCAGTCCCATAATCAACATGAACTTATTAAAAAGAAAACAAGCTCACAGGACGTCGAAAACCACAAGTCAGATCAATACAATTCCCAGTAAACTAGTACCAGCAGTCTCTCGGATTGATCATGGTGATCTCACTATGCCGATACTCACAACCAATTCCCTGATTTAAAGAAAAACAAACAAGAAGATCAAAAATTTTTAGTCTAGAACCCTCTTTTACTTCTATCCTAATAGATTGAATATCTTTTATAAGGAGTACTAAAAGTTTTGATTAAGAAGAAAGAAAGAAAATTAGATGGTTTTGGTAAAAAATAACACTAAATATCTAGATCATTGACATGCAGTTCCAGAAACATAAAATTTTTAACAAAAAACACACAATGCGAGCTGAAAATGGGAAAATACGAAAGAGGAAAAACTTACTTCCGGATAGCCCAAAAGAGAAAATAAATACCTTCTTGCAAGTGAGGGGAGAGGCTAAGAAATAAACGCAATCGGTGTTGCGTTCCAGCAATTCTTCCTCCATTTTTTCTTTGTAAATGAAAAGCTGAAAGACAGAGCACTGCTTGGGTTTATAATTTTACATGGCGGAAAATTGAAGATCAAAAACTAAACGAGAGTGCATGTGAGTGAAAGAGACTGAGAGGTGAATGCGCTGTTTGGGATTTCATTATATTTGATCATTTATTGAAAAATCTTTAACCACAAGGATTAAACGAATAAATTATTATATGTCATTTATACAAAATAATTTCAGCTTTGTTGGTGACTTTCAACAATGATACTTAGTTCATCTTAGTAGTATTTGTCAACTCTACATTTCTAACCCCATTTTTTTCTCACAAGCATTTCATCGAACATCTATGCTTCACTTGAGATAACTTGTATCTAACATTACACCTTGAATCGTTGATGGTCCCGATAGTCCCTTGGTCGTGTCTTCTCTCAATGGACCCTTATTCAAGTCAACACCTCCACATAATTCAAAGTTAGATTAAA